TTCGGCTTTGAAACGTAGATGAGCACCGCCCCCTAGAGTCGGGAACGACTAGCACATATGTGCAAGGGGAACCTTTAGCTTTACCTTATCTATCTTAACTATATCGGTTGGGAAACTGGTTGCGAATGTCACCTTCTCTTGACACACATATGGTGTGTGTGTGTGTGTGTGTGTGTGTCCCAGTTTGAAGAGCACCCCTTCCAAAAAAAGCTCACCTTCCTCACGACTTCTCCGATCATGCCCGACCAACTCCCGTTGGAATTGAGACGCCCGTATTTGCCGTCCTTCACGATGCTGACTTTGTACTTGAAATGAAGCATTTCCGACAGCTTCTGCAACAGATCGATGCAGTAGCCTTCCAACTCAGGGCCCTTAACCATCACGTAGGGGTCTTCCTAGGGGGGATCAAAGCAAAGGAAATATTTCTTCCTCACCAGCCCTGTCACGAGTTCCAAGGAATACATCCATAGCCAACATGAACTCCGAGGGAAGTCGATCTCTCCAAGAACAATTCGATTGAATCTACCGCATCGGCACAGTTCTGGTGAAAACCGACTCTGAAGGTTCCCGCCGTTTTTACCTCATTAAAAGTTAAAAGTTTCCGCCCCTTTTTCCAAATAATTAACCACAAGGTCCAATAAAGGCGCTGTCTGATTGCCCGGCAACGTCGCTCCTCCTCTCTTCAGCCACCTGTGGGAATGACCTTGGTTCTCAGGAGAAACTATTCTGCTTCGGCTACAAAACCCCAACTATCTCTAGTCCTCCCTCTTCCCTAATCCTTCAGCGCCAGTGTGGCAATGCCGAAGCCTCCGAAATGCTTCGGTCGGGCCAGCTTCAGAGTTGACCCAGCCCCTTCCATCGCCTGGATCAGCCTGTCGCAACTGGAGTTCCTTTAGAGTGGCGAGGCGGCCTAGAGGTGGAGATGGAGCCCTCGCAGGCTGTCAGTTTGATTCTAGGTAGAAGCAGATATTTCTCTCTCTGAGCACATTGAGAATGTATCTGCTGAACAAAACTCCGCACTGGTGACAGGAAAGGCATCTGGCCATTCAACACTCAGCTGGACACTCAGTTGCCCAGACTCCACCCTGCAAGGGATTATGGGGCTGTTAAATGAGGATGATGATCCATCACTCAGGTGTGAAAAGTGATACCCCATCCCTGTCTCCCCCCTCCTCCCCATCCCCATGGAGGATTTTATGGATATTTCTGAACTTCCTTCCATGTTTGATGCACTGTTGGAGCCATCAAAAGCGTTGTGTCTCCCTCCAAAAAACTGGGCACCCCAATAATCAGAAGACCGTCTCCTTCAGGTTCAATGAGACCATGGATTAAGAAAAGGCCCTCTTATTTTAATACTGGTCGTCCTTGACTTACAACAGTTCGCTTTGTGACCATTGGAAGTTACGAGAGCAGTGAAAAAAGCGTATCAGGGATTATTATTTTTTTGCGCCGATGGCCCCGGCAGCATCCCCATGGTCGAGTGGGTGACATTCGGACGCTGGACAACAGACTCATATTTACGACGGTTGCTGTGTCCTCTTTTGCGACCGTCTGACAAGCAAAAGGAAGGCAGATTCGCTGAACAACTGTGTGACCCACTTAACAGCCGCAGCGATTTTGCTTAGCAACGGTCGTAAAAAACGGGGTGAAATTCACTTAAGAAATGTCTCACTCAGTGATGGAAATTAGGAGCTCCGTTCTGGCTGTAAGTCGAGGCCTCCACGCGTATGAATATTGTAACTCCCAACTCTATTGATATGGGGCTGTTTGCACAGCCAACACCCCCCCCTTACCAGAATAGTTGTGACGTACACCATTGGCGCATCTTTGCCGCCTGCCCCGAGAGAGACACTGTCCTGGGGACGAAAACATTTCAGAAAATTAGCCGCACATTAAAAAAAAAAAAAAGGAAAGACAATCACATACAATGCAGCACGACAAAAGTTGTGTTGGCATTAGCAATAAAATTGAACTTTATATTGTTGGGTGAGCTACGAATGGTTCTATTTTCGGGCGGTGTTTTCCCTGCAGAACTCTTGTGCGAAGGACACAGGTTTCCCGGGGAATTTATTTCCCGCTGCGCGCTTACGGCTCAGGAGAAGCACCTGGTCTCACCCCTGACCTCAACCCTGGAGTGGCCCAACTCCAGAAAATGTCCTTGCGCCCCTCAATTGACCCAACACCAAGAATGATGACTTTTCCAAGTCCTGAGAAATTTCTCCGGCTGAGAAGTAAAACTTTAGCAGAGTAACTGAATAACGAGAGTTGGAAGGGACCTTGGAGGTCTTCTAGTCCAGCCCCCTGCTCAAGCAGGAGACTTTCATACAGACTAGCAGAGTTGGAAGGGACCTTGGAGGTCTTCTAGTCCAGCCCCCTGCTCAAGC